AAAATTTGAGATTTTTCTAAGGCAAACTGAGCTTCCTCTTGTGTTGAATCCTTCCGGGAACTTTTCCGGCAAATCGCAGGTCTCTGTCTTTAGTGACTGAAAACTGCGTCGTTCCTCTTTCTCTCCAACGTTTTTGCACTTATCTGCATATAAGACAATAGAAAACAAGAGTGCATGTGGTTTGAAAGAGGATTGGTTAATGTAGGGAACTAGCTAAAGATGAACTAGCCATTCAGGATCAACAGAGAGTGGTAAAAGGATAAAGGAGTCCTGAATGTATGATTCGTTTCCCTGGTCTAATGCTTCAATGAGAAAATTAAGTCCAAATTAAGTCCAAATAAAACAGATCTAGTGTATCCCTTCATCTAAATCGAAATCATTCAAATTCCTCTGGGGTACTTCGTTTCAAATGTGCTTAGCTACCGCCTAGTCTAGTCCTAAATCATGAATGAGCAAGTCACTAGGAACAGTCTAAAGCACACAGTCAACTATCATTGATTCATGTTCACCATTCCCTTTAAAACGTATTTTGTTTTGAAAACCGATTTTGAAAAACTTTAAGGAAAATGAAAAAAATGTAGATAATGCAAGACTCATGAAAGAAAGGTGGTTAGAAAGGGATGAAATCCTCCCCCAGACTTAAATCACACTGTCCTCAGTGTGAAACAAGTCGAGATTGGATGAGAAAAATGCATAAATAATCAAATTGGTAAGGACAAAGAGAACTTACCTGGATCCGGGATGCTGGTGGAGATGAACCGGATTCATTCGAAGAGGTTTGGGAAGGTGATCAGGTGGTCATGAAGGTGGTGGAGGGTGATGAATGAGGTGGAGGGTGATTGGTGAGGTGGAATGGGGTGAAAGGGGTGGTTTGGGTCGGGTTTGGATGTCAACGACAAAGTGCCGCGGTCAGGGGCTGCACGACCGCGGCAAACAAGCACTTGGCCGCGGTCATATTCACGCGACCGCGGTCGATGAGTAGTTTCCCGGGTCAGAACATCTGCGACTGTGGGGGCTTGTATCGCGGCCTCTTCCTGCTTCTCCTTGGTTCCTGCTGGGCCGAGCAGTCAGGTACCATCCTTCTTTTTGGTCTTTTCGGTTTTTTTTATTTTTTTTGCTTTTTTGTTTTATAAGAAACACCTGAAACTAAGAAAAAGAAAAAGATTCTGTTTTAAGTCGTTTAGCTCGACTTTTGGTGTTGGACGTGACTTATTCCAATGAAGAAGACCTTCTCCTAAGACAAGTCTTTTTCGACATCTCCTTGCCTTGCTTAGCAGGTTCTTCGTCGCTCCAAAGCTCTTCTTCAAACTCTTCTGCTGCAGAACGTTTTCATGCTTTGCTGTTGTATGGTACAGCTTCTGTGAAGACATCTTTGTCGATATTAGCAAATGAAATCCTCTGGTTTGGCCAGTCCATTATAGCTCCAGAAGTTTCTAGAAAAGACCATCCGAGAATCACTGGATATGTTGCATCTCTCCTCTCGACAATGTAGAAGTCGACAGGCACTATGCAATCTCCTATTCTCAAAGGAATTTCATGAGCTATTCCTTGAGGTGTTGCATTTGAATCATCAGCTAGACTAATCTTTGCTCTAGTCCTGCGTAGGTGTTTAATACCAAGTCTCAAAGCAATTGCCTTAGACATCATGTTAAGACAAGCTCCAGAATCACATAGCACGTTTTTAAACATTTCTCCTCTAATAGAACAAGAGATAAGAAACTGACCTGTTGTCTTGACCTTATGGAGAATTCGAACTTGCCTTTCTCTGTAGGTGTTGGCTGGTGTCTCGAACGCAGAATAGGATTCACAAAAGAAAGCTGCAGCGTCATATTCAATGATTGAATCAATGTATGGCATCTTTATCTCGCTGCACGTCTGGTCTTCTTGGATTGATGAGTCAGCTGAATCTTCAACACATTCCTTTGCCATCATACAAGGTAATGATTCATGCCAATCTGGTTTTTCATTTGAAACTTGGTTTTCTTCTTCCTGAGTTGCTTTTTAAGGTGCTGGAGGCTGAAGTTGGGACAGAAGGTGTATTATTTTCCTCTCAAAACCCGGAGGAACATCTGAACGACTAACTCCCGCGGTCAGAGGAGTCGCGACCGCGGGAAAAGTGCTCTTGGCCTCGGTCAGGATGCTTTGACCCGCGGCTCAGGATATGACTTGCTCAAAGTCCGTTTTTTCCTTCTTGTACTTGACACGAACTTCTCCTGCATTTTTATTAGGTAGACTAGCATCATATGAACTCATACCAGGGCGTTGATGTGCATCTTCATCAGGATTTTTGGGAGATTTCTTAGAAAACCTCTCAAATTGCTCAATGTTGGGCATCTGCTCCTTTCTTGCATCAATCTCCCGTGCTTTGAACTCGAGTTTGTTCAGCCTGTGCTCGATCTCTTGCAACTCTTCGTCTGTCTTCTCTCTATACCAGGAGGTGGACTCTCTGACTTCTTTAATCTCCTGTTTTGATTCAGCAATATCACTTGAGTTTTGTATGATGTCATACCCTTGTCTTGTCTGCTCTGTTGCGATTTAATGGATCATCCCAGCTAGTGTTTGTGAGTCTTTGTGGGTTTGCTCTTCCAAAACTCGAACATGATTGGCCATCTCATCGATTTTTTTGTTGAACTCTTCAGAGATTGAATCAATTTTCTTGAGCAGGGTGTTTTCGGTGAGAATCTGCTGATCAAGGAACTGGTTTATCATTCTTTCGAGGCGTCCCAAACGTCTGCTGATCCTCAAGTTGTCATCTTGCTGTCTAGGGTTCTGCAGTAGAGGATTATGGGCGTGTGGCTCGAAGTAGGTTGGAGGAGGGCCATAAGGATCTTCCCGGCGTCGAACAGTCTCTCTGCGCCGGTGGTAAGGGTGGTTCGGCTGGCTGTATCGATCCATGTAGCTAAGATTTCGGACTTGGGGTTCTTCTCCGCGTCTGGTGGCTTGAGGAGTGTTATAGAAACCTTCCTCATATTGTATATTTCGATTTATAGGATCCATATCTTCTGAAATGGAAACAAAATAACCGAAACATGGAAAGTTGCAGAAAAGGGGGTTCTAGAGTCGATTTACTAACCTTTCTCGGGGTTTTGCGGAAAAGAAAATGCGTGCCTTCCCCGGAAACGGTGCCAAAAACTTGATGGTGACTTGATGTCGTGAAGGTTGTCAAGTTTTACCCTAATTAAAATCAATAGCCGCAAGTGCACAGCTGATCGATTGTAGTACTTAGGGATCGAATACACAGGGAAGGAGGATCTTTTCCTGCAAAAAGCCTTTGAAATAAGATTAAAGTAAGGAAGTCTAGAACAAAAACGGTTTAGTGTGGGTTTGGTAGTGTGTTTAAAATGTAAAAACGAAATATTAAAAGAGAATACGAGAATTAAATGACGTAATAACTAAACTTAATGAAAATGACTAAAAATGAGAAAAACGGATATTCTAATGCTTAAATGAAAATGAACTAAAAAGGAAAGACAATATTGAACTAAAGCTTTAAAGAAAGCGGTGTAAATCAATGGAGAAGAAAGCGTTGGGGTTCAGGGAAGTTTTCTCAGGGGTACGAACGATTCAAAACATTGCTAGAGAGGAAATTTTGTAAGATCTTATCTTAAACTTTTCGAACTGGAGTCACGGACGTATGAATACGCCACTGTCGTGATCATAGACAACTATCTCTCTCAACCCTGACCAGTAGGTTTCCACTCTGGCCCTGGAAGAGAAGAGATGCATTATGTTTAAGACTCGTCCTCATTCACAAATCGCCCATAGGTAGGTTTCCACTCCTATGTTTGTTTTGCTCTCCCAAACTAGATCTGATACCTGATGAACACTTTCGTGTCACCAAGCATCTAGATCAGATTGTAGTTCATGACGCTACTCTCATGCAGTAAAAACGAATTCAGAAGAAAAAGTTCTAAGATTCGGCTCAAAAGCTCATGGAATCCTCATCGAACATATAAATCCCCATCGAAAATCCCTTAATCCCAACAATAAAACTACTCAGAAATAATGAATGAAATCATAAACATAGTATTAATAAGTAGAATAGAAACCGAAATTGAAAAAGAAAGAACAAGGGTTCAAGAGAACAAATCTCTCTCTCCCTAAAAGCTAAAACAAAAACAAGTATTCTAAAACAATAAGAAAGATAAAAGATGATCGATTAGGGTTCCTAAGATATGTATTTATAGTGCTCAAGACCTCTCTGGATGTCACTTAGGGTTTCTCCAAATGAGGGAATCATTGTGGGCTTCAGAAATGGGCTTTTGGGCTCGGAGGTTGATGGCCGCGGTCGGGACTGCTCTGACCGCGGGGAATGAGTGTTTTGTCGCGGTCGGGATGCTCCTGACCGCGGGTGGAAGTGCTTGCCGGCTGGTTTACGGGACATCTTGCTCTTTGCGTATCTTTTGATTGAACCGTTGGATTGCCAAGCTGTAAAGTGAACTGGAAAGCTGATACTTCCATCTTTAAGGTCTCCAAATTTGAGCTGGATCAGACGGTGAGAAGGCCTTCAATCATGGGTGAACTTCTGACGGTTTGACTCTGAGCTGAAATCTGGTTTTCTATTCATTTTGTTAAGCTTTTCCCTAAGTTACCTGAAAAGAGTCTTGGAACTACAAATACTAGAAAAACGTGATAAAGTACTTAAAAGCAATTAAAAAGATAGAAAAATTATTTCAAAACGATCCATAAAAATGGTCAAAATACGGTGTTATCAGTAAGATCGCCAAATCTTTAACGCGAACACTACCACAGCCATCTCCAGATCGTGAGTAGGGTAATTCACCTCATGCTTCCTTAAGTGCCTTGAGGCATAGGCGATTAACTTATCTTGCTGCATCAGCACACAACCCAATCCCATCCGCGGAGCTAATCAGAAGGAAAGTAGGCTCCTAGCTCAAGGTAGCCACTCATCTCTGTAGACTACATATGGCTAATCCGGCTCAGGCAAAGCCAGAACTGGCGTACTAGTCAATATCTCCTTAAGCTTGGCAAAGCACTTCTCACACTCGGCCGACCACAAAAATGGTACGTCCTTTTGGCTGAGCCATGCTCGCAAATCCCTTAACAAACCAATGGTAATACCTAGCTAAGCCCAAAAAACTTCTTATCTCTGAGGCATTCTCAGGTCTAGGCAAATCCGCGATTGCCTTAATCTTCTCCAGGTCAACAGACACACCCTTGTCCGAGACCACATGACCCAAGAATCCTATCTCCTTTTGCCAAAAGATGCACTTACTGAGCTTGGCGAACAGCTTATGCTCCCTTAGCCGATTCATCACGGTCCTTACATGAACCACATGTTCTTCCCGACTCCTGGAGTAAACATGTATATCATCAATAAAGATGATTACAAATTCATCCAGGCAGTCTCGGAACACGTTGTTCATCAGCTTCATAAAGGCCGCAGGAGCATTAGTCAGCCCGAAGGGCATGACTCAGAACTCGATGTGACCATACCTTGTCCTAAAGGCGGTCTTTCTCACGTCCGACTCTTCTATGGGTATCTGATGATAACCCGAAGCCAAATTGATCTTGCTGAACCAAGTCGCCCCTTGAAGTTGGTCCAACAGCTCATCTATCCGCGGCAAAGGGTACTTGTTCTTCACTGTAACTCTGTTCACCCCACGGTAGTCGATACACAGCCGAAAATCCCATCTTTCTTTTTAACGAACATCACCAATGCATCCCACGGTGAACTGCTCGGTCGGACAAACCCTTTCTCCATCAGATCGTTTTAATGCTTCTTCAGTTCAGCCATCTCAGCCGGAGCCATCCGATACGGTGCCTTGGGTATCGGCGCCGTTCCAGGCTCGAGCTCGATGGTAAGCAGATATGACCGCGCAGACGGTAAACCCGTTAGCGCCTTAAACATCCTCGAACTCGCTTACGACCGGAATACTGCCCAGCTCCGCATCTGGTCCTACCTCGACGGTCGTTATCGTAGCTAGGTACACCTCACACCCATTCTCGATCATTTGGTCAGCTTTGCATTTGCCGAATTATCAAGCTATCCCTGGTTCGGTCTGATACCATGA